AGTGGATGGGTCATTTTCGACCTGGAGGGATGTGGGCAGTGGGTCAGGAGTGAGAGGCAATAGGTGGGGACAGGCCATTGATATTTACAAATGGGTCCTGGTACAACAATAAAGGTTGAGAACCACTGCTCTAAAGGAGTGGCTCCCAACCCTGCTACACTTGAAGCAAGCCTCATAGCTTCAAGAATTTTGCAGCACACCATTTCAAAAACTAGTTTATTTATTACAGTGTTTACATTCTTGCAGAACAGCCATGCAATCGGCAGCCTGCCCTTACCTGCTTATCTTCCTACACTTCCTGTGGCACCCGGGGTTCACAACTACTGCTCTAAGGCATCAGCTATTGCCAGTGTTGGAGACAGGCTAGTGGCCTAATATGACACTTCTTATGTTTTTCACGTAGGAGCTTGACCATGGCACTGATGCTGCAATTAGGAGTGCACAGTGCCACTGATAAAGGTTACTTTGTGGGAACTTAAAATACAGGGTAAGTATTTAGGTCACTGGTTGAGGTCCTTGATTAACCCAAGCATTTGAAAAAAAAAGAAAAAGAAAAATCAATCGATCAATCAAGAAACAGCAGGAATTCAAGGAATTGTTACAGGCTTTTTCTATTAAAAAAGAAAAGAACATCAATTCTTTAAAAACAGCATACTTTGAATTTAGGATTGAGGGTATGGGCAAGTTGTAGAAACAAAACTCTTATAAAAGGATACATCTGTACATATACATATGTATGTATGTACATACAGGTCCTGGCAATTAATAGAACATGGAATTCTGGGGTAGCAATTTTAAAAGATGGAATACTAGAAATAAATTTGGTATACTAAATCTTCTCCATTGTTGCAAATCAGTATAGTCCCACGGGCCTTCAGAACTGTGATTTTATACACATATATCGACACACACACACAAACGTGTAACACGTACAACATATCTTTTTGTAAAAGTTTTATTATACATACACACACGTATCCTTTTGTAAGGTGCATTTCTAAAACTTGCCCACAAATTTCTCTCTCACACACACGCGCGCGCTAGAGGTAAAGTAGTTTCCGGTCAAAGGGACCACCCTACATGAGGGAGATTAAAATGACTCTTCACCAACTCTAAGTCTGCACCAGACATAAAGAGCAGGTTCCCCAGCACTCTCAGCACTTACCTTTCAGCCAAAAAATTTTACCCCGCTCCCTGTGGGGAGAAAACACCCCAAGAGTGACAGACAGGTACTTTAAACTAGGCTTGAAAGACGGGAACAGCAGATTCGCCTGCCAGCCAACGAAGCCGTCTCCTCTGAAGTAACCCAAGGACAGCGGCGAGCCGGGGGAGAAACCTCTCCGCAGCCTCCCGAGCAGGAAGGACTTGGAGCACCGCCAAATCTGGGCGCGAGGCAGAGCAGGGGCACCTCCAGCGTCGCCCGGCTCCGGCCCCAGCCCCAGCCCTAGCCCCGAGGCTTCACACTACCGAGTCCACACGGCCCCGCTCCCCACGGGCTGCCGGCAAGGGACGTTCCCCCTCGTCCGGCGCGGGGGCCCAGCGGGAAGTGCGGGCGCAGGAGTAAGAAAAAGAGGAGGGGAGCGGGACACACAAGGACACGGGGGGGGGGACGGGGGACGGTACCTCGGCTCCGCTCTCGGCCGCGCTCTCCACAGCCATCTTCTGCCAGGGGTCCGCCAGCTGCGCCAGCGGCATCTTCCCGCCCGCCCGCGCGCCCCGGCTCCCAACCGGCCGAGCACGAGGACACGGCAGGAGAGGAGCGGGCGAGACAGCGGGCTGCCCCGGCTGCGGCTCCCGCT